GTATATTTAATTCAGAAAGTACAGCCAAGCAATTAATAAATCATTTGCAAGAGGGGTGATAAAAGACAAGTGGCAAGTGTTTGCAGAACAGGACAGGATGATAGTGACCATGGGGGTGCAGTTGCCCAGAACATTCTGAAGAAAGCCTTCAGGCCCATCACTGGGGTAACACAATGAGGCAGCAGGACACACAGCTGCTTGCCAACAGATAGAGTTTACCAAATTAAAGGCCCCTGCTCCAGGGGAGGTGACTTTGGCATGGCTGGACAGACAAAGGTGCTGATGTCCCAAGGAGAGGAAATATGACTACAGGGTTTGGCCACAAGGGCAGCTGTAGGCTAGGATGTCCTACCCTCCTAGTGTCAGGATGCATGGAGCAGAGCAAGCTCTCCCTTCCACAACAATTCCCAATGCCCCAGGGGAAAAGAGACCCAGAGATGCTTGAGAAACAGAACAAATGTGGCAGGAAGATGGTAAATTGGTACTGAAAAGGGTACTAGCTTCTTCTGGTGCCTCTACAGGAAGCCAGAGTTCCTTCTCTACCCTGAATACTTCCTAACATAGGAACCCCAGAGGAGGAAGCTCTTTCCGAGTGGGAGTTCCACGGGCCAAGGACTGTTGCATGCCAAAGAAAAACAAAATTTGCTAGCCGAATATTTTTTAGACATTTTGCAAGATGCACGGCCTCCCTGACAATTTTTAATGTACTAACTGCCTGGTCCAGTGAGCTGATTAATTGGTGCTGGAGAGATCAATAAAAAACAGAAAATTAAAACAATTTTAAAGTGATTAAGTAGTTTAACACCTGTCTCCCGTCACGTCAGCGCAGGAAGAAAAATAAAGCAGGTGTCGAAGGGGCCTCCTGAAGCAAGAGAAAACAGCGCCTGCCTCGGAGAAATGACAAATCACAGCTGGTGGATCAATCTGCGTGCAGGCAGCCCTTCCCCAGGCCCACTGCTGCAGCAGCAGGCACAGGGACCCTGTGAGGGCTGGGCACCTCCAGGACCGCTGCTGCACAGGCCAAGCAAGGCTCCAGCCTCCAGTGTCCACTGGCTCTTTATGTAGGGAGTTGTGAGGTGCCTGTCCATGCCTTGGAACCAAGGCAGGCAGCTCCTGGAGCCTAGGAGCAACTTTGCCCAAACTCTAGATGGGATCAGGGAGAAAGGCACTTAGCTACCCTTCCCTGGATCTCAGCTCCAGCCATTCGGAGCCAAGCCAGCAATAAGCGGAGGGATTCAAACACTCCAAATGCATTCCAGGGCCTGCAGGGTCAAGGAAAGGAAACAAACTGTCACAGCTGCCCAAGGATTGCCAGACTTTCCTTTCTGGAAGCTTCAGGTCTCCTTCCTTCCTCCTAACCTCTACTTTCTGACTTCCTGCTGTTTGGTGACATCAACAGGTGGTGCAGGCACCTGCTGGATGATGGCCCAAATGTTCCTGGGAACCCTTTTGTCCAAACTTGCCTTCTACCAGCCACTAGAATGGAAACTGCCAAGCAAGTCATTCCTCTCCCAAAGGCATACATTTGACTTAAATCACTGGAAGTTGATTCATAGAACATAAGAAACTGAGAGGATTCCTTTCCAGCTTCCCACCAAAGTCCTCCTAACAAATGGAATGAACCAGAACAGGGGAAGAACAGTGAGAACGAATCAACAAAGCCTAGAGAATGGCCCAGGTAAAACTCTGCAGAAAAATCTCATTTTACCTTAAAAATAAACTTGAATTTTGCACATGTAAAATGCAAGACACATTTAATGTCACTCATGTTCTATGCCAGCCTGGAAGCCTGGCTCACCACTAGTATGTCCCTGGAGCTGGGGCCTAACTGAGCTGTAGGCACAGGCCTCACAGGTCCCTGGAAGAGAAGCTGGGCTCATTGACCAAACTCCCACACCTGGGGACAAAATGAGCCCTACTCATGAAAAACACAAATACTTACCTGCTCCCCAGCTTCCTATTCACCTTCAGGGTCTCCTGTTGCCAGCACTTTCCACCCTTGTGACGAGGATAGAAAAGGAAATCCAAACAACTACAGAGAAAGCTTGTAGCAGGTTGAAAAATATTAAAACTTTTTTTTTTAAAGAGAGAGAGAGAGAATTTTAATATTTATTTTTTAGTTTTCAGCAGACACAACATCTTTCTTTGTATGTGGTGCTGAGGATTGAACCCCGGCCGCACGCATGCCAGGCAAGCGCGCTACCGCTTGAGCCACATCCCCAGCCCTTAAAACTTATTTACTAGTAATTCCCACTTTTAAAAGCCCTTCTCTTGTTACCATCTGCCACACTTAATGTGAATGGGGACAGGGTCAGGAGAAGGAATTCCAACTATTCATTTTAACAAACAAACTAGACTTTTCCCCTTTCTGTTAACTTTTTTCTGGGCTGAGAATTCTGATTCTGTATTCAGTGTTTGGGTTGCTCTCTAGAAAATAATTTGTTTGCAGCCCCATCTTAATGAAGGGTCAAATTTTTTTTTTTTTGCAGTGTTGGGGATCAAACCCAGGACTTCCAGGCTTCTAGGCCAGCGCTCTGCCACTGAGCTACATTCAAACTTTTCGCAGCAAATTTTATGTCAATGAAAATCTCCAATCTTCAGTTTTTGGCTCACTTTAAAAAATAATCCACATAACATACACTGTCTCTTGGCATTTCCTGTCCCAAGATGTGACTTCGGTGGAGACTTGGCCAAGGCAGATAAAAGGACCTGCAGCCCAGCTCTCGGGTTGACTTCAAATGTCTACTTGCATAGGGTGTCTGCTGTGGGGTCCACCTTCCTGCTGAGAGAAGGCTGACCTGTGGGCTCTGTGGGACCTCCGCAGGCCACTGGTTCTATCCCAGAATGCAGTCATGAAGGGGTCCAGAAGCCCAGGAACTTCACCTCTCAGAAGCAAACACAAAGTTCTTGACGCAGTGGTGCCCACGGGCCTGCAGGCCTGTGGGCCTAAGGCTGCTCCCTGCAGAGTAAGCCCCACACTGACGGAGATAAAGTTTCCCTGGGCCCAAGTTCCAAACTCGGCTGTTTTGTTTCTGTTAAAATGCAATTGTTTTTCTCTGGAGTGTATGGTGACTGCTTGGCGTCAGGAAGATGTATGAAAACCTCCACTTCAATTCAGCATCCCTTTTCTCCCAGACAAACACGGTCGGATTTTAATAAATCAAAGAGCCACACTGTTTAATAAAAATTTATTGACTTACAAGTGATTATTTATCAAAAGACCATTAATAGCAGGTACTGAAATGATGTGTTACTGGGTGGTGCTGGGAGACTAATAGGAAATCAATGCAGCTGGCCGGCCGGAATGCATATGAGAAGCCCACCCCTCCAACAGCTAGAGAAATTTCACCAGCAAAATACACCAGACGCTACCCCTGGTGCAATGAAAAGTTCCCCCTTTTTATTTATCGTTTACAAATGAAATGATCAATACTTTTAATCTAGAGCAAAATTTATTAACTTTCCCATCGGAGAGAGACATATTGACTGGGGGGAGAAGGGGTGTGAGTGCAGTGGAAGATGGATGGCTGGATGGTCGTCTCTTAACCTGTCCAAGAGTCAGTGTGCATGCAGCTGCCCTTCCAGCCTGGGTGTCCCAGGCCACACAGGATGAGCACACCTGGAGAAATAGAGTCTGGCCACCCAAGACATGCAGCAGGTAGATGGAGCCTGCAACACTGAAACCTTTCACACATAGGGGAGCAGCAGGAAGCACTGTCCCACTGAGAACTGCATTTTTGGTTAATTTCAGGAAGGAAATGATAGGGTTTATAGACACATATTTCCACAAGGTAGCAGGGTTAGTGCCCACCATTGCTTTTGCCATGAAGATCTACAACATGATGGTGCCCAAAGACCCCTTATAGCTGGCCTGACAACCACACCTCACACCATCAAGCCTTTTTTCACCTGAGAGTGGCAATAGGGAGTAGGGGCTAATGCTAAATAAGCAAGCTCCAAGGTTGGTTTTACCATCATGAGGATGTCATCTCAAATTGCTCTATCAAGCTTAGCTTACCGAGCCTGGCCTGGCCGACAGCCTTCTATTGAGTTCTGTCAGGGGAATTTTACTAGCCTTATTAGAAATTTCTTCCTCTAATGGGCTGGATAAAAGTCTCATGCCTGAGTGAAAAGTCTGTCCCAGATCCACAATCCACCCAGCCTACGAGAAGTGCGGGCCCAGCTTCAACAATTTCCTGTATCACTTGGGGACTCAACTCTACACAAGGGGACACTCTCTAGTGATTTAGTTTCACTAGCCTGAAATTTCTTGAGAGCGAGCAAATGGGTTGAAAATTGACTTTTATTTTAAAACCCAGACTACTTTAGAGCTCAAAGCCGTTTGAAATATGGGTTTAAAATGACAGAAATTCCAGAGATGGAACTGGCCTTAGAGGTCCTAGCCCAAGTCCCTAGTTATCAATCAGGATATAGACTCAATAGAAATAAAAGTAACATAGCAAAGGAGCAGTAATTTTGGAAGGGGTTGAAGCTGGCCAACACTCCCTTCACTAAGGCCACTTAATTTTATTCAAAGCCCATCTTTACCTTGGCTGAGACCCCAAGAGCCAGTATAGTTTATACCTTATGTTGCTTTATATTTCTAGGTGTTGTGAAGTCTTAGCACTTGAGACCAACTCAGCAATCCCAAACCAAGTATTCTGACTTATGGACAACTTGGGGCCAGCAGAAGCCCCAGTAAATAGGATGGAGCAGTAGGAAGGGTCTGAAAGCCTTTAATGAGCACTAAATAAGAATGTCACAGACTTCATTTTTGTAGGAATAATTCACCTCCTTTCTCCTGTGACAGGTGTGCAGAATGTGGAGATAAGTGAAAACAAAAACAAAATATATTTTTGAAAAACCTATGCAAATCATGAAATAAGACAGAACATGAATGAAATTTTAGAGGAACTTCTTTGAAGGGATCTTGACCTTCAAGACCAATTTTTAAAGGTCATTCCAACTTGGCATTGAGACACTACAAACATCACCTCCTATAAAGGCTGAAAGTCACTTTTTATTCTTGAACATTACATAAAACAGTTCATAAGAGGCTCTTCTTAGAGTCATAACAGGGTTTTTATTTGAGAGAGAAAAGTTTTCCACTGACTAGGCAAAAAGGCAGGTAGGAGGAAATAGGAGGCCATGTGGGAGATGACAGGAAGGTGACAAGGATGAGTGACATCACAGGGTCAAAGGGGACTGGGTCCTCAAGCATGAGTGATATGAGTTCATACTTCAGGAGCCTGATCTTACTCCCAGCACATCCCCAAATCCCAGACCAGTGGGCAACCTTGGAAATATGACACCACAGCTGGGGCAGAATCCTGAAAGGTGCCAAGATTGTGCCACAATGGAGGAGAGGATGGTGGAGGGATGGGAAGATGGATAAATGGGCTGAGGCAACGCTCTCTTCAGAGGAATATAAAACTGGTGGACTGCAGAAGAACCAACGAGAATGGTTTGGCTTTGGATGTGCCTTTACAGTAACTGCAAAGTGACCTGGTAGGCCCGGGAGACCTGCAGTTTACCCATCAGCTGTACAGAAGCATGTGATGCACCAATATCCTTGCCTATCCTGCCTCACCTGCCAACCCTTTCCAGGACCTCTGATCCTCCTTTCCCCGCTGTATATATTTCATGCCTCCCAGGGTCCTCACATCCAAACAGTCCCCAACATTGTCCAATCTCCACAAGCTCAACAAATGGGTGCCCTCAAATCCTGTGGTTCCCAACTGCGGAGAAATCTGTGTCTATGCTGGAAATTCTAAATTAACAGAGATGTGCAATGTGAAATGTTTATCTCCTGAACAAAATAATACCTATCCAGAGGCCAAGTGGGTCCTTGAGGTCCCAGGGTCACAAGTCAAGTACGAGAATTGTAACTTTGACAAAAAAACACGTTACTCAGGGCTACATGCAGGGGAGGGTGAGTGAAGGGAAAAGTCCCTCAATTCATTCACCATTCAGTTTTATTACTCACAAAAACAAGTCCAACACCTTGTGCAGCAGCTCTGAGCTCAGACCTTGTCCTGCCACATCCCGTGAACCTGTACTTGTGACACTGCACATTACATGTCCCTCACTCAACACTTGAATCCCCACAACAACCCTGTGAGGTAGGTATCATCACCCTTCCCCTCCTGATCCACATGATGGATGAGGAAATGAGGCACACATTAAACATAGAGCAAGTCATATAGGAAATTCAGGCTCAGCCTGGAGTTTAAACAGAAAATAACTCCTGGCTCTCACCAGACTAGTCAGTGGTCCATTCCTGGTCTCTTTCCATCCCCTCTGGTGATTTCCCATAAGCAGTAGCACAAGAATTTAAAACTTCGTTTTGGTGAATGCAGACAACAATTTTCTTTTCAAGTGTACAGAGTTCCAAGACTGGGGGGTGATATTTAGGCACTGGCAGTGCCTCTCCTCAGGAGCCAGTGGACCTTCCCCAGCACAGTCCCTGACATGTGGGCAACAATTACAGACTAACACCCAACGTCTTAACAGGGAATGTGGCCGATCTCCCCGACTGCTCAGCCCTGCACAACACACAGAGTGGAGAGCTGATTTTAATGGCATTCCTCCAATGGACTTATTGTAAAAGAACAAGAAGGCATCTTGTCCTGGGTAGCAACACCCAGCAGCATTCACTTCAGACAGCAAAGGGCAGGCTGTGCTGCCCCAGAGCCCAGGGATCCCCAAAAGGCTCTGAAGCGGCTAGAGTCCTGAGATCTGGAACAGCCCCAGAGGGCCCCAGGGTCTGGAAGGATGCAGCAGTGGGGGCGGTGGCGGTGGTGCAGCGGTGGCAGCAACAAATCCAGCTGGCTCACACGTCAGGATTCAGGCATGGTGGCTTCAGCCAATGTGAGCCACAGACTCAGGAACGGCTCCTGTCCTCGTGGTTCCCAACAATCATCTTGCTATACAGCTTCTGCTGCTCCTCTTTGAACGTGTCCTTCACCTTCTCCCTCTTCAGTCCACCATCCCTGATGAGAAAAAGACCCATGTAAAGCAGAGAAGGCGCTGTGGCCCACCCACATCATGGCAGACGCACGGTGCTGCTCAAAGTCCAGGAAAAATTGGTCAGAAACAATGATACTCCATAGTTTTTTCATTAGGATGTCGACAGAAACCAGCCTAGACAGCTCTCTCTTGCCCAGAGGTTGACATTCATGATTCTTCTAAAAGCACTGTGTAACTGCTTACACCTATTCAAGCAGTTTTTAACATTGTTTCTACTCTGACCTTCACCTTCAACTTACAGAAGCTAAGGGGTATTCTGGCATTATGGGAGGAGAGCTAAGCTTCAAGAAATACGGAAACTCAATTGTCTGTAAAAACTGTCTATCTCTGGTGCTTATTTTGTGACTTTGGGGAAAAAGGTGACTTGACTTCTTTTTTTTTATATATCCATGTTTTCAAGAGGGTGAAACAAGAACATCACAGCATATCAGAAACACAGTATTTGGTAAACTAAGTGCTCAGTAAACATTCACATTTTTAAAAGGCCATATTCCCAAGGCCATGCTATTACACGAAAATCCACAGTTCAGTTTAAAACTTGATTGTCTATACTTTCTGTTTTCATAAGGCCCATCTAGCCAAATGTCCTCCATGACTGATCCATGCCCTCCATGCCCTTCAGAATGTAGCAATGATGTTCTGTACCAGCATTCATACAGATCAACCTCCTACTGTATGAAGCATAATTACCTCAGACACTAGGATAAAAAGTGATAAAATATGTCCATGGGCCAAATCCAGCCTGACATCTGCTCTTGTAAATAAAGTTTTATTGGGACACAGTCATATTAATTTATTCAAGTTCTAATCCTGGCTGCTTTCACACTATAATGGCAGAAGCAAGCAGCTGTGACAGACATTACAGGCCTAAAATATTTACTGATTTATTATAGAAAAGATGTTAACTCCAGCTCTAGTAGGTAATAAATTAAATGTAATAAATGAAACTTTTGCCTTTCTAAGGATGGTTCAATTCTGTCAAATACACTGAAATCAGAAGAAGTGTTATACTCCTGAGGTTTCAGATCAGCCTCAGGTCATCCCTATCTAAAGATGAGAACTGTCTAGGTACCCTGACATAGTGGTACAGTCCCAGGAAGGTACATGAAATTCACTGCTTCAGTCTAGGCATCCTGAATTCCATGCTCCCAGAGGTCAAGGCACAGGGTACTTCTGAGTCGGGACTAGGGAAAAGAAGTCATAGTGCTCTGTCTCCAGAGATGGTGGGTTTCATTCACTACACCAGGAAGGAAAGGAGCCTTTGTAAAGGAAGCTGATGACTCAGCATCTGCTTCAGAAACACAAGTTCCCCTAGACTCCACGACATCACTCTGCACTTACCACAGCAGGTCCACCAATCCTCCCTGCCTGGCAATGGCAGATTTCACCCTATTGGCAAACTGGACGGCATCTTCATCTTTCTGTAGTAAGAAATGAATAAAGGCCATTCAGCCATGGCTCATGGTCACATGTAGCTAAATGAAGACCTCTGACAGCTGGAGGCACTTACCTCTCTGGTCATGGGAGGCAGGTACCAAACACTGCAGACAATAGCCCAGCTGGTCATCATTCTCAGTAGATATGTCACCATTCCATATTTGCTGCTATTCCAGAAGGCATCACCAAACTGAGGGTCATACTAAAACACAATGGACATTAAGAAGTGAGTAGTTCTAAACATGTGGTATCAACAGCAATGCTCGTGAATGAACCCACTGAGGCAGTATAAGGGTTAGAGTGCTGCTCCTACCCCCGACATGAACACTTATGAAGCAACTCTACACCCAGATAGCTCTGAACTTTAGCCACGCTAATCTCCCCAGACTACTCTCAGCTTCTGCCTCAACAGGGAAGCTTCTTCTAACAGCCATCATCAAACAAATGTCTTCTCTCCTTGGACAGCTTCATGTCTCACCCATAGGCACATACACTCTATTAATAAAGTTTTCAAACATATCCAAAACAGAGACTAAGCTAATATACCCATTACCCAGATTCAAAATTGCCAACATATCATCATGCTTGTTTCATCTATCCTCTCCCCTCATATAAGGCCTATCTCTAACAGCATGTCATTCACTCATAAATATATTTAGTGTGCATCTGTGAAGTAAAGGGATTTTCATCTCTTTTTGTTGGCCTAGACTCAAACAATTTGAAAGCTTATGTTTCTGTATTTATAATTCTATCAAAGCAAATTATCCATTCAGGCAGGAAGCTTAATATTCACTAGCACATCCAAGAGTCTCATGAGGTCTCAACCATGTAGGCACTGTACTTGCCACCAAGAAGTAGGCGTATCATAAACTTTTTTATTTGTCAATGATTCTAATAGAGGTAAATGGCTGTTGAAATGACATTTTGTGGGAAATGGGTCTGTAGCTGTGGTCCTCATTCTAACCAAAAAGTAATTCATTTCCTAAATCGGGAAGTGGGTGGTTATCTCCTCTGAATACTCCCCAGTCCTTTATGATAGGGTGGCAACCCACTGGTATTCTCCTTCTGCTAGCACTGGACCCACGGTAGCCCAGCACTGCTATACTGGAGAAGAACAACTCATTGACTGGTACATCAGCTCCAGCCTCCACCTTCTTGCTGTATCCGGCCTTGGTGGCTGTGATAAAGACAGCATGCATCCTCAGAGGTCTTGTACCTTGATAGCAACAGGGTAAACTGTGGCTCCAATTTCAAAGCTTCCCTTTTTGAACATCATCACTGATGTATTATTGATGCAGGTTCCTAAAATGCAAGAGAGAATATAAAACACTGTTTTTTTTTCCTGGTCCTTTACCTGAAATATTAGGAATTTCTTCCACACTAAATAATAAAATAGGAAAAACCTGTAATAACCTCAACTTATAAAATGAACACCTACAAGAGTCAGGCAAAATGTTGTATTTCCTTTTCCTTTTTTTTTTTTTTTTTTTGGTGCTGGGGATTGAACCCAAGGCCTTGTGCATGCGAGGCAAGCACTCTACCAACTGAGCTATATCCCCAGCCCCACTTCCTTCTCTTTACAGGCCACTTTCCCTTATTCCCACACACCAGCCTAGAAGAAGGCCAAAGACATTTGGTAGACTCCACAAGAAGGTGAAAGGGTACTTACTGTCAGCAGTACCACAGAAGATATTAATGCACTGAGGAAATTCACCCCGTGAATCTCTTAGTCCAAATTCTGAATTTCCCTGAGATTTTAGTCCCACAACCAATCTAAAGGTGACCAAAAGGTGACCACGGAGCTGCAATCCTGCATAGCGGTCAACACTGCAGCTCTGTGGGGACCAACTCCTTCTTACCTTCTGGGAAGATGAGGATAGGTAGCTTGCTTTTATCTTGTACATGCTCAGTCAGTCTTTAGAAGAAAAAAATAAGACAAAGAAATAGATAACCTCAGGCCAATCATCATCAAAGTGATTAATATATGTCACACTAGCTTGGGCATGTTAATAAACCCTTGTTTTTTATAAACCCCAAATCTAAAACTCATGAAGAAAATTTATATGGGCAGAGTACTACTATTTAATCCATATAATCATTCAATTCAGTATTAAAGTCTACACACAAAGGATGCTGCTCAGACTTAATACTATCTGCAGGAGGCTCACACATAGCACTCTCAGAAGTCTTGTTGCCTGACTACACAACAGCCATGCTTGGTTGGACCTTGCTATGGTTTATCCCTTCAGAAACTTGTGGTGAGCCAGTTACAATGGCAATTTAGCAAGGCTCTAAGCAACTTGGTGAGACCCTGTCTCAAAATTTAAAAAATAATAACTTAAAAGGCTGGGGATATGGCTCAGAGGTTAAGTTCCCCTGGGCTCAATCCTTGGTACTTGCCCTCCCACACAAAAAAATTTATGGTGAAATCTGATTGCCTTATAACAGTGTTGGGAGGTGGGGCCTTTAAGAAGTAATTAAGTTGTTAAGAGGGATTAATGCAGTTTTCATGGTACTAGATCAGTTACTTTAAGAGTAATGTCTGTTGGCTGGGGATGTGGCTCAAGCGGTAGCACACTCGCCTGGTGTGTGCGGGGCGCTGAGTTTGATCCTCAACACCACATAAAAATAAAATAAAGATATTGTATCCACCCAAAACTAAAAAAATAAATAAATATTAAAAAAAGAGTAATGTCTGTTAAACAACTTATTCCTGTCCTAAAAAAAAAAAAAAAAAAGTAGGGTATTAGAAAGCAAGGCAGCCTCTTGTGTTTTGTCTCATCTGCACCTGCCTGTTGCCACTTCTGCTTTTCTATTATGTTATGGTGAAACATGAAGGTCTTGCCAGATGTGGTCACCCAAATGTGAACTTCCCAGCCATGAAGAGCTGTGAATCAAAATAAGCTTTTCTTCATAAATTACCCAATCTCAGGTACTCTGTTAAAACTGGGGAAAACAGACAGTCCCTTGTCTCAATATTCTGTCCCTAAGCAAAGGTGCAGCAACAAGAATTTAGTGGGAGGTTCACAAAGACCTGTGGAAGATAAACTCAACTGAGTCTTGATGTCATTACTGCAACTCTTTTCATTACATGCACCAGAAGGAGACTGAGCAGCAGTTTGTGTGTGTTTCTTTCTTTTTTCTTTTCCAGAGGAGTTTTTTTTTTTGTGTGTGTGTGTGTATGTGTATGTGTGTGTATGTGTGTGTGTGTATGATAACGAATCTGTTTGGAGATTTCTAATAGCAATCAAAGTTCATACTTTTTTTTTTTTTTTTGAGAGAGAGAATTTTAATATTTATTTATTTTTTTTAGTTTTCAGCGGACACAACATCTTTGTTTGTATGTGGTGCTGAGGATCAAACCCGGGCTGCACGCATGCCAGGCGAGCGCACTACCGCTTGAGCCACATCCCCAGCCAGAAAGTTCATACTTTTAATTAACTTTTTTTTTATGATACTGGGGATTGAACTCAGGGGTGCTGTACCACTGAACTACATCTCCAGACCTTTTTTTTTTTTTTTTTTTTTAATTTTTTATTGTCAGACAGAGTCTCACTAAGTTGCTGAGGCTGGCGTCTAACTTGTGAACTTCCTGCCTCAGTCTTCCAAGTTGCTGTGATGACAGGTGTACATACATCACAACCAGCTTATACTTTTCATATTGTTTTAGGAAAAAATTCATTATGAGAAGAGTATAGGCCCTGTGTAAGAACTATACTCTACAGTGAATTATAACTTTACAGTGGATGGATAACTACCCCTAAAACGTTTTCTGTTTATGTTACAACTGGGCAAATAGCATTGTTCATTTACCTCTTAGCCACCAGGTGGCGATCTTTCACTTCAGAACGCTCAAACCAGACGTGGGGGCAGGACTTCACCATGGCTCTCTGAATCACACCCATGAGTCCCCCGTGCACTTGACCCACCTAATCTCAGACAAAAGAATAATTAGGAAGCCACCCTCTCACAATACCCCCAACTCTGGGGAGAAGCCATAGGTCCCAAAAATGAGTACTCCAACCTTCATCCATAGATATCTGATTGCTAACTGCAGGTTTCTCACTATCAAAAAACCACTCTGAATCCTAAATGTCTCCTTTTAACCAGAGATATACAATTAAAGAAATAACTTAAAACCCTAAATAGTAAAGTTGAGTGATCCCTTGTGTCCCTCCCAGGTGTGTGCCAGATGCAGTGGCACACACCTATAATCCCAGTTACTTCAGAGGCAGGATGATTTCAAGGACAAGGACAGCCTGCGCAACTTTAATACCCTGTCTCAAAAATAAAAAAGGAGCTGGGGACATACCTCAGGGGTAGAGCTGCTTATTTAAGTATGTGTGAGGTCCTGGGTTTGATCCCCAGTATTGAAATGCATGAATGAATAAAATGCCCCTCTGGCCATTCTCAAATGCCCTCGAATCCAGTCCTTTCAAGTCCCCATCCTCATCCTGTACCCTTTCTTCCGTGGTTTGCCCAAAAAAAAGCCAAAGTACCAACTTTAGCCACAATCTTATCACTTCAGAATACCTCCTATTTCCAAGTCCCTAGTCCCCAAGGAGTTCCCCAAGGTGACAATCTAGATCAAGGGTCCACGGGTAACAATATGCTTACATATTTATACCCTTAAGAAGGTGCTTTGTGAAAGGTTCAGAGGTCAACCAATTCTGACCCTTTAAGGAGTCCTGCCTCAAAAAAATAGGAGGAAAAAACTTACCATGGCATAGTAGCCGTCACTGGCCAAAATGATCACATCAATAGGAGATGTATGATTGGCCACACAGATGCCTCCATTTCTTGGTCTGTTTTTTCTAGTGTAAAAAATATGCAAAGCAATAAAAATGAGTGTGAAACGATTAACTTAGAGCATATCTCTCACCTCATAAATTTCACCAGCTCTAACTTAAAGCTCAGAAGTCTCTTTGCAATTGGTTGAGTGCAGGTGAGTCCAAGTCACAGTTTGGGCCAGCACCATCTCCCTTTGCATCCAAACAAAGTTGCCTCACCTGTCATGATAGGTAATGATGGCTGTTAGGGCTCGCACACAGATCCGATAACACATCAAGTGAACGTGTTTACTCAAGAACTCCTTAAACCTGCAACAATAGGAAAAAGTTTGAGGTTTTATCTTACCTGTAAGAAGATGGGACAATTTTGACTCCAACCATTTAAATCTGAAAAATGCTTTTATAAATATTACTGAGTATTGTAAACCCTGTAAGGTATTATCCTCTTTATGTCACACAAGATGAAACAAAGAAATGGCAACAAGACTTGCTTTCATTCCCCTACATTATTGGTTCAGTATTCATAGCCTATAACTCCCAACACAGGTGGGCCAGGGTATCTCCTCGAGTCCTTTCCCCTAGTCATTCCCAGAGGCAGGCCAAGCCCAGAGTTCAACCTCCTCACCAGTCCCAGCTGCTAGCCCTACAACTTCCCTGAAAGAACAAAGCTTAAAAAAAAGACAAAATCTACTCGCATTCCTAATTATTTTTTAAAACTTTACCCTCTTCCTTATCCCATCAATTTATCAACTTAGCAGAATGCTCAAAATTGAGTGATATGCTATAAAAACTGTTAACACTTGGGCCTTGGACCCTATGTTTTTGTGGTTGCTGCCTTTTTGTCTTAAAATGCGAAGAGTATGAGGGCTGAAGGACAAAAAAACCCAAAACCAAACAAAATAGTCACAGGTCAAGATCAATCACTAAATGAAAGCCTTTACTGTTACCACAGGGTTACTTTATGGATTGGGTTAGTATCTGAAAGAGTAGCTTGGCCTGCAGTATCAGCCACCATTCCCAGAACTGACCGCCCCACAACTGAGCACTTGTGCTCTACTTACCTCCCATTCGGTAAGTATCCCACCACAGTTGTGCCCACCACCAGGAGGCTAATCCCCGTGAACGCAAGAGCTATCCTGTAACAGGAAGACAAATTGAAACACAGCAAACCAAGTGAATGTGTGAAAATGAAAGTAGGAATCCCCAAAACCACCTGCAAGATCTGAGCACCTAAGACCAGGCAAGAGTTCCACCCAGAAATGCAAGCAGACTATCAGAACCAGGGATCACTATAATTCCAAATGGGAAGCCAACTATGAATCTGTTTCTCAGCTGACTAGCACCTCAGGCATCAGGCAGTTAAGAGTGACAGGAAACCCTAAAGCAAGCTGTTCTGCCCTTGGGCAACTACTGTCCTGCTGTCTTTCCCCTGCCCTCTGGCTTTACACCCTGGCTGAAGCAAAGCCTCTCTGAAGCAATAGGAGGCAGAGCCTAAAGGTACTGGCATGTCTCAAGGCATCCTCGGAACACACAGCACAGAAAAACAGAAATCGCCAGGGCCTCTGTGTTGGAGAGGCGAGCTTCAGGAAGAAAGGCCATGCCCAGGGAGCAGTGGCCAGAAAGCACATGATGTTCCCTGTCCCTGTGTTCAGTCCATCTAGACAAGCAATCTATCTTCATAAAACCCTACTATTTCCGTCTGATATGCAGAGAATCCAAGGGCCTTTAAAGGATAACCATACCAAGGTACTTTTTTTCAAGAGTCAGATGGACTGAAAAATGAAAGAACCACACTATTCTTTCTAAAATGGGAAAACAAAACAGAGAGATAGGCAGATCATGCTTCGGGCTTAGGGAAAGCAGGTCAAGTCTTTTATCTTCACCAGACCTTGCCCTCACCTGAGTGGTAGAAGAAAGCAATACCGAATCAGCACTCCTAACCCCCACAAGACAGTAAGCCGAAGACTGATGTACTGGAAATTATAATTGGTTCTGCTCAGCAGGTTCCAGGATTCCAATTCCTCCGCCGAGAATCTCTTTGTCACCTCATCATCCATAATGGTCTCCATTCCTTTCCGGCAAAAGTAGAAAATGTCAGAGAGCTCAAACTCTGGAGTATTATCCAGAGCCTTACTACTACCACTTCGGCGAATCTCTTTGATCTCTTCTTCTAGTGAAGTAGGATCTTTAGCAATGATTCCTACAAAAGAGAACACCCTGGTCAAGCAGCAAGCTAGGAAGGAGCATGTTAGAAATAGGGTACAAATACTGCATTTTAAATAGTGAAGGGTACCTGTGTGCTATGGTTTAACAACATTTTAAGTGTGTCCCCCTAAAGATTCAAAACATTATTGAGAGCTATGCATTTTTAAGAGGTAAGGTCTCATGGAAGGTGATTAGGTCATGGGGTCATGTCTGATCAGAGGACAAACACTGGTATCTTGGGGAGTCAGATCTGCAGAAGTGGATTAGTTCCTGCAAGATAAGGAACTAATTTCCAAAAAGCAAGATCAGACCCTCCCCATTCTCTTGGGTACTCTCTCATCACGTAACCATCTCCTTACTTCTTCCTTCCCTCACACATGCTCTCTTGCCATGTGATGCCATCTACCACATCGTGAAGCAGCCAGGCTCTCAGCAATGCCATGCTATGCTATCTGGATTTTTCTTTTTTCTTTTGGTACTGGGAATTGAACTCAGGGGCACTTGACCACTGAGCCACATCCCCAGCCCTATTTTGTATTTTATTTAGAGACAGGGTCTCAAATGAGTTGCTTAGTGCCTCGCCTTGCCATTGCTGAGGCGGGTTTTGTACTGAGATTCTCCTGTCTCAGCGCCCCTAAGCCTCTAAGATTACAGGCGTGCGCTACTGCACCCTGTATTTCTCTATGCACCTGAATGAAGAGCCAAATAAACCTTTTTTCTTTATAAACTACCCACTCTCAGGTTATAGGAACAGAAAACAGACTAAGTGTACGATTGAAAGCACTTAGGAACATATTTCAAAGAGCTCTTTTAGGCTAAGAATCAAGACACAATCTTACCGTTGGTATAGGGCTTATAAAGTTGGTGGTTCTTCTCCTTGGCTCCTCTCTCCATTCTCAAGGTAGCCCACTGTTGGGAGAAAAGGGAGGTGATGGCAAAATATGAGAGCATGAATGAGATCCTTTTTCAATCAGTGAGCACCTCCTTTTCCATTCTGTGAAAGGGATTGGACTATAGCCAAGCAGCACACGTTCTGAAAGGGGACCCACACCCCTCTCAGAACAGGACCTTCCTTGATAACCAGGACCCCACTAAGCAGGTTCCAGGATTTCAAGTTACTGAGAGGAAAGAGCTGGAAACCCCAAAAACCTGGGCAAGTCACTCAGGCTTTGTTTCTCACTGCCTGAACCTCTTTTCCCTGTATACTTAAGGAACTTGCCAACTGACAGTACCCAACTAGCAAAATCAAGTATCTTTTCAAATTAATCCAGAAAGCAACAATTTTAATTTTCAAGGATATAAAGGACTTAAATAATGTGTATGTCTGGACTGTAACAAGAGTAACCTTTTTGCAGAAGAAACCCACAACAACACAGAAAGCCCTGGGACTGCTTCACTGAATTAAATGTGGTGGGTATTTGGAAATTTTAAAAATCCAGTTCAGGTTAAGGGTATGGCTCAGTGGTATAGTATTTGCCTAGCATATATGAGGCCCTGGGTTCAATCCCCAGCACTGCAAATTAAATCATTCAGTTTCAACGCCCAAGTTTAGCCCTCACTAGCTGTCTTACTCAAGATCTCCCCATCCCCTCAGAATCTTGGTTTGTTTACCTGCAATAGAAGATCAACACTATAGTGACACCTCTTACTTTGGGGGGTCTTTTAGGATCAAACAACATCATGCATGTGACAGAACATGGAAACACAAAGCACTCTGTCGTCTTATTACTCAAATCTCTGAACTCTAGAAGAGACTGAGAAAGTTGGCTGTCCTGGAGCTCTCTACCTTCATTAAAACATTTTTAACTGAAGTAAAATAGAATCAGAGGCTGAGGTGGAGTCCTTCCACTATCACATAATGAAAGGTAAAAACAAGAGCTAGCTCACTCATTTCCTATTGGAATATGTTATCACTGAACAGAAAGTTATTTCCACATTGAATCAAGAAAATATTAAAAAGATGTCTTCAAAATTCTGTGTCCACAGTTATGCAAGGCGGGAGAGAACCCTATGGTGCCATGCAAATGCAAAACACACCTGGCCCAAAGTATCTGATGTAGATTCTGCTGGTAGAGCCTCAAGTACCAGCTAGATTGCTCTGCATAATCTAGCAAAGCCAAAAGTGGGAAATGAGTATAATCAGTGACTTAATCCCAAATGGAAATTTCTTCAAATGCCACTGTCTTAAAAAAAAAAAAAAAGGTGGTTCTCAAGAGTCATCCACTCAAAAAATGTTGAAGGCCAGAAAACGCAACCCATTTTCTATATTTCAGATATTTGACAGCTGATATCTTTGGCTTTATGCTTATATGGATTATCTCTTCTGGAAAAAAATGTTAAAATAATTCCTAAAATGGAGGAAGGTAAATTCCACCTGTTTTTCTGGAACAAGGAAAGAGGTTTAAAAAAAAAAAAAGAAAAGAGGCAAGACAAACCTAGACATAGAGATAACAGGTTACTCAACCAAAATTTAAGGTTTTACATTTGGGCCAAGACTCTGTATTGGTGTAACAATGTTCAGTACAGAAACATTTGATTCTGTTATGACAATACTGATACATTAGACAGCAATAGGTAGGTGAGATATGACATCAGGCTGTGGGTTTTGCTTTAATTGGAAGGGTGTCTCTGAGATTCTCCACCTCTTTAAGTAAGAGCTCAGTGGTCAGTGGGTGGGGTTCAAATTCCCAACAATCTAATCACTGGGTTGTTTGGGTGACTAGTCCCATATCCAGAGAATATTTAGGATCCCCCTTTAAGTCACACCATTAGCATAAACTCGGGTGTGATCAGAGGAGTGAAATGTGAGCCAAGCACAGTGGCACTGGCCTGAGGCAGAAGGATCACAAATTGAAGGCCAACTTGAGCAACTCAGTGAAACCCCATCTCAAAATAAAGAGGGTTAGGGATATAGTTCAGTTTTCAAGCACCTGAATTCAATCCCCAGAACTGAACAAATAAAAGGGTTGGTGAGCGGGAAGTTCACTGCAAATAATAAAAGACACTACTATCACTCAGCAAATTCCTAGGGTTTTAGGAGCTCTGTGACAGGAACTGGGCCCAAAGACCAGCTACATTTTATACTATGATACCACAGGACAATGCACAATACAATAGCAATGTCTGGAAACTATGCAATTGGATTCTCTGAGCTGTCACTTTAAGTAGTTTGTGGGGCAGGGGTAGAGTGCTTGCACAGCCATGGGTTCAATTCCCAGTACTGCTAAATAAATAACCAACCAACCAACCTAGCTTCAGAATTCATTTCACCATAAAAATCTCTTCCTCTGAACTGAGATGCCAGGCTATTCAATATTTAATTACATATTCCCCTTTCAGCCCAAGACAATTTAAGGGTATTAACAATACAGTGATCTTAGGTAACATTAATCTGAATGGAGATCTTGGCAGGTAAAATGTAGATGGTTCTTCATGCAGCATTTTTGCTAGTTATTTATTCTATTAAACACTATAATTTAGGAACTAATAAAATTAGTTAAGAGCTACAGTCCTGGCAAAACTAATCTCAGCAGAAACTTTCCCCTTCTTTTCAGTCAGTCTCCATTGCATTTTCCCATGAATTAGAAACTGAAGAACCTGGCATTTACAAAAGAGATGCTTTGATCATCTATCCCCTTCTATTTCCCATGCAAACACTCCACCTTTAACACATCTCTTCCTTCCTTCCTGCTACTGCCAAGTCTACAACTTTATTCTTAATTTTACAGAAGTGCCAACTTTATGTTTGCAATGAAAAAGTCCAGGCAGCCCTCCCAGTGCAGCAAGCAGATTCAGAGGCAGCACACTTGCTCCTGATTCACAGCAAGCCTCCTCTAGTGTTACTCCCAATCTTGGTGAGTAACACCTCTCCCTTTAACCACTCCAGCTTTCAAGGTCCCTCTATGTTACCAAACCCTAGCAAGTCACTGCTTAAATAGCCCTCTCTCACACATCTACCTCTTGTTTCATGCCACTTCATCATTCACTCCCTTATTCTCTTGTTACACTAATTGCTTTTTTTTCCTCCAGAGTCTCATCTTGTCATTCACTTGCTCAGAAAAGCTCAATGACTAAAGAAATATTCAGGCCAAATAAAATGGCATGTGCCTGTAACCCCAGCTATTCAGAAGGCTGTGGCAGGAGGACCAAAGGTTAGTGGCCTGCATTAGCACTTCAGTGGCAGAGCTCTGACTTCCATCCCTAATATTATACAAAAAACAGAAAGAGAAAAAAATATATTGTAACCTACCCCCTTTCTTCACAAACTGGTTGTTTTTGCTCTAGTGTGTGGTGTGCTGTCTCTAAACAAGACTTTCATCTTTATTCACTGCACTTCTATTATGCTCTGTCTTCTTCATTTTTAAGATACAATTCAAATGCCAAATCTAAGATGAAATGTTACCTACCCAATTCCTGCAATCAGAATTAACCTTTGCTGAATTAGTTATGAGTGCATATTTGTGTTTCCAATGGGACTACAAATACATTGAAAGGAAGGAGCCAACTACTCATATGTGCATTCTGTCAGAGTCTGGGAGTGCCTTGCACTAAGCAGGTAGTCAATGAAGGGTCCATTTCATTAATCAACTCCCAGTATTTCTCTTCACCAACCTCTCCATATGAGAAAAGACCTGAAGTAACAAACCTAAGACTTCCCTGATATGAATCGTTCCATCTCCTTCAGTCTGTCCTTAACCTACCTTCAAGGTTATAATAGAATTGCACTTCTCACAGGGTAGGAAAGACATACATAATTAGCAACACTTCTTTCACTACAGCCATGGGAGACAGGAACTACCACACCCACTCTATAGATGAAGAAATAGAAAATGGAAAAATTCAATGACTGAGGTCAAGTTTTAGAGTTGGCAGGGAAAGCCCAAAGTATTTAAGGTAAAGGTTGCCTGACCCAAAAACAAATGCCCATTTACTGCAATCCCACTATCTTGTATTCAACTTCACCACCACCACCGGTTTCTGTGACTCTCTACCAACATACTCAACTTTGGAGCTGAACACTGATCAGATTTCAAGAGTCTCATCTTCTCTAACTGACCTGATCAATTCCTTTCACCTCAGGCAGAATTCAGGTCATTTATTTTCATCTTTCTCCTTTTTACCCAGGCATTCTTCTCTCCCTTTTCCCACGCCAAAAAATACCATCACCACTTGTGCAGAGGATATCTGAAGCAAAACACCAAGACAACATGCTGCTCTCTGCACAAGATAGTCTTCAGTAACTCAGCACAAGAGAGGGGACAGACAGACACTGATCCCATCACTTATATCCTCTTCATCTCCCCCAGTGGCAGGTATACAAATATCTTCTCTGGGTTTATTTATAGAGAATGAAATATGAAAAAGAGCTGTTAAGCCAGAGCTGCTTAGGTCTGTCAAAACCATAGGTATATATACTGCACGAACTATCATATATTCAGTTTTAATAATCTTTATGAATATTATGTAGTAAAATGTGAAAATGTCTAATAACAAAAGAAAATATCCACAAAATTAAATGTCCACACTATTAACACAGTCAAAATATCAATGTGTATTTTTCATCAAAGATTGAAAAGAAATATAATAAGCAAATAAAGGTGTTATAAACTGTGGGACATGGATGAATGTTTAAAATTATCTATTAATATATTATTTATCTGGTTGTAATAATAACCAGTAAAATATATAGCCTCTAGTGACTGGCTTTGTAACATTACTATTCTCCAAAAAGTGGCATCATTTATTTTGCTCAAGAATCCACAGACTATAGATAGGACTGGCATAAGCTGGGCGGATGGAAGAATGAGGACTGGAATCCTTGGAAGGTTCACCCTACCATGATGTGCATGAGATGCTGGGACTGTGATCTGAGACACCTACAGGTGTCCTACCTTTGCCACATCTGGTGG